GATGCGTCACCGTAACGATGACGCCCTTCGTCGAATTTTTATATTTTATTTATTGACCCATCAATTCATCTTCTCATTATAAAATATATTTGAAATAATTATGAATAATTATCAAGAAATTGTATATAATAGTATATGCAATAGTATTTAATATAATACTGGAACTATTATGGACAATATCACCTAACCCAACCCATATTAAAAGTATTACAAAAAAGAAAATTAAAAACATAACATAAAAAACTAAAGGATTCCACAAACTAACGGGGGATTCGATCCCACGCCTAGAAAACATCCACCAATTGCGAGGCAAGAGTCCTACCGCTTTCGCTAATAATGCTCTTGAACGAATACACTATTGATTCGTAACAAGCAACAGTTTTGTGATTCGTAACAAGCAAATTTCTATCCCCTCTTCTTTGTTTGAAGTCGGCCGCTGAGTGAGAGATCCGAGAAAGAGTGAGAGGTCCGTGAAACCGAAGAAGCCATAAATTTTCACGGTCGACCGAACAGCTTAGTGGAAAAAGGACAGAACTTATATATTGTTTTCTCACTCTGATGCATAGCGATTCTGTCGTTCATTCATGAATTCTATATTGATCCGTAATAAGCCACTCGCCTGTAACCCAACCCATATTAAAAGTATTACAAAAAAGAAAATTAAAAACATTACATGAAAAACTAAAGGATCCACAAACTAACGGGGGATTCGATCCCACGCCTAGAAAAAATCCACCAATTGCGAGGCAAGAGTCCTACCGCTTTCGCTAATAATGCTCTTGCAGTATACAGTACTGATTCGTAACAAGCAACAGTTTTGTGATTCGTAACAAGCAAATTTCTATCCCCTCTTCTTTGTTTGAAGTCGGCCGCTGAGTGAGAGATCCGAGAAAGAGTGAGAGGTCCGTGAAACCGAAGAAGCCATAAATTTTCACGGTCGACCGAACAGCTTAGTGGAAAAAGGACAGAACTCATATATTGTTTTCTCACTCTAATGCATAGCGATTCTGTCGTTCATTCATCGAATTCTACATTAATCCGTAATAAGCCACTCGCTCGGGTCTGGCCAGTTGCTTGTTACGAATCCGGTACATTATATTGTTTTCTCACTCTGATGCATGGCGATTCTGTCGTATTATGAAAAGTATATTCTCCGAAATTATGTTATATCAATATGCTTTTTTCTTTAAATCTAATAGTTGACAGTTGAACCATAATTTGAGGTACATTTTTATCTATAATTTTAATTCATTTATTTAGCAAAAATAAAAAAAGTTGAAGAAAAAATTAGTTAAGTATAATACAGTATGCATAACATATAATACTATATGAACTATGTACAATGAACAATAATACAATATACAAGCGTGGAATATACAATTTCTATACAACAGGTACAATATATACAATACAATAAATAAATCTTCAGTCCACGAGCAGGGCTTTTCTCCAAACGGAAAGCACGAACCAGTCAGATGAACATGAAAAAAAAATGAATAAGTTTACTGATCAAAAATATTTATTTTAAATAATTTGATACTTAACTTTTTCGAAGTCTCTGATCCACGAGCAGGGCTTTTCTCCAAACAGAAAGCACGAACCAGTCAGATGAGCCTTCTTAATTATTGTCCTTCTTTTTTGGTAGCGCTTCCATTTCTAACCCGTGCTTCAAGACGACTCCCAATGCTAATAATGTTGGATTACCCTTTGCGAATTTTTTAATAGTATTTTCGAAGGCAGCTAACTCCTTCTTGTTTTCTTCAATTTCATTTTGTTTTTCGCTTTCTGCCACTCCATCTTCTATTTCTTCCATTCTATTCTGTTCTTCGTGCTCGTTCACTTTTTCTGCTTCCTCCTGTTCTTCCTCCTCTTCTTCCTCCTCTTGAGTTAAAACTTCGTCCATATTTTGCTCGTTAACATTTTCGTCATTGGTCAAGGCTTCTAACATTTCTTGACATTCTTCGTGAGTGGTACTTTCCCCGCTTATTGTGTGTATAACATCACTAAGAGCCGAATGAACCGAAACATCTAATTCGCGTGCATTTTCGTCTTCTTCGATCCCCCCTTCCCTTCCATCTCGTCCAAGAATTTTGTTCCAACTATTTCTTATATTGTTAGCCGTGATGTTCGTCCATGCTTCTTCCACAAAATTAATGCACTCTTTAATGTTGAATAATCTATAAAAATCGGTTACACCTTTTTCATATTGTAAAATACGACGGAGGATTTTATGGCGGTACAATACTTTAAATTTGGCAATTACGCCTTGGTCCATAGGCTGAATTAATGATGTTGTGTTCGGTGGCAGATACATAAGTTCAAAATTATCTTCGTTTTGAATGCCTCGATGACTGGAACAATTGTCCACGCATAATATTACTTTCCCGGATATTCCCTGCTCTAAGTGATATTGCCGAACACTCGTTTTGAAGCACTTTTCATACCACTCCCTAAAAATGTCGCCAGTCATCCATGCTTGCTTCTGTGATCGGTATATCACAGGCAATTCGTTGCAATTCCGGAGCGCGCGTGGATTCTTATACTTATTAATAAAAATAAGTGGCAGTTTATGCGTGCCATTTCCATTGGCACACAGTCCAATAGATATTCTATCCTTCCTTATTTTTTTCCCCGTCAATGGTCCTTCTTCATTAGATATTAACGATTTCGATGGGAGCGTCTTCCACAGTAGGCCTGTTTCATCCATGTTATAAATTCGATTCGCGTCGATGTCCTCTTCCTCCAATCGGTTCACGAATGATGTGATAAATTCTTCCGCACTTTCCGCGTCTGCACTTCCCTGTTCCCCATGCGCCCACGCCAATTTAATACCGTACCGTTTTTTAAATTTTTGAATCCATCCCCTACTTCCGGCAAACGACGTCGATGCAACTTCATTTAATAATTGATTCCCCTTCTCTTGTAAAAGAAAATCGTTAATTGGATTCCCCATTGCTCGTTGCTCCAAAAACCATGTGTATAATTTATTTTCTAGATCTTCATTCGAAGATGTTCTACGGTTCTTATGTTTCAAAACGCGCCCACCCCGAATTGCAAAATTTGATAATTTATGATAATCGCGACGGATACGGTATATTACATCCCGCGACACTCCATATCTACCACTTAATGTTTTTACGGATAATCCTTTTTCTAACTCCTCAGCAATGTTCATTTTTTGAGTTATGCTGAGGAAAACTCTGCTTTTGTTCTCATTTTCTGCCATGATGCACAAACACTTATTTTCACGTACTCTGATTTTACGCAGTGTCGGCTTGAAGGGTTGTCAAAAGACTGACCGAACTAAATGTTGTATGTCTTTTATATACCGATTCAGGTAAAGACCGTCGGGTTTTTCCCGAAAACAATACATTTCATTCACGCGTCCACGGCAAAAGACAAGTCACTGTTTTATCAGGAAAACCTGTTAAAATTCCCGAATCAGGATTACAATTTGTAACAACAAATAGTTTATTATTCAACCAAATATGTATAAAGTTACAACTTAGTCTAACTCCTTTACTTGTAAATATGTATACGTTTCCTCGACGAGTTCCGTATAAAATCTAATGAAGAACGTCGTTGTCAAGAAAAATGTAAACTTTGAAGAAGTGTTCTGATTTTTAAAAGAGAAGTGGTTTAAAAAAGGAGTGGTAAATTAAGATATAGAAGAAAGTGATTTAGCGGGTCCTTGGAAAAAGGACCTCAAGTCTGAAAACAGTTGCTTCTTTGGGATCAAAACAAAACTTATTTGTAATTGTTAATTTTTGTTATTAAACGGTTTTGTATATCAGATAATCCCATCTTCAATCATAACCTCAATAGTAATTTATCAACTATATCAACGTTATGATTGAAAATGGGATTTTCTAATTGAGAAGGCACAGTTGAAAAAAAAATTGTAGTATTGAATATAGGAAAAATACATGCAGGTTTATTCTTGTTGAAGTTAAAGTATTGGCCATACTTGTACCGTTTTTTCCACATTCTGTGCAGGTATTGTTTAATTACGGTCTGAGACCTGCGAGTACTCCAGGTATACATAGGTGCATGTACTGTCGTAGCAATTCTTTTTAATTAGTTCTAACCTGTTGAAGTAAATCAGTGAAAATTCATGCCCAAATATGGTAAGGTCCTGACCGTCACTGGGGCTATAAATTATGTCTGGAAAAACCCAGGGTCAAATATGCAGTTGCGTTTTACTGCTGACCTTTCTAGAAAGCTTGACTATTTTCAGTCAGTTCTGTTAAATTATTAATAAATTTAGCATATAGCGACATCTTACAATATTAGAAATGATGTGCGATGTTAGTAACAGAATAATTGAATATTAGAAACAGAATAATTGAATATTGTACTTCCGTCTTGTCCTTATGAAAATGTAAGCGTTCGTGATGTTTTATTTGAAGAAAAAGTAATCCCTGTTTAAATGGTTAATCTTTAAGTTAAAAAGTTTGTTGTTTGTGTTCTTTATTAAATAATTTGTTCGTGTTCAAAAATGTATTATTAGTTTTGTTATTTTCCATAATTCTGATTATTTAACAAGTTCGACAAGAAATATTAAAGTTCACAGTTTTTAAACTGTGTTTGTTTATTATAAATAATCCCACCTCTGTCATAACCTCAACATAACCTAACCTAACCGAATTCTTCAACAGTTTTTCCACCGTTTAATTTTTTTTTATAAACATAATTATAACTCCGATATACTTTATGCATGTATTTTATTTCACATAAACCATTAACAATTCTGGTTGTACCGACCCTTGTGTCGAACTAACAAAAAAACTGGCGGTCTTCGATGGTTACAGCTTCGATGGTTACAACCTAACAACGGTTAATTTTTATCACATGAAATGGTAATAAAACTAGCTACACGTTCGACCGTAATTTTTCCAAATTGCTTTATAGTCTTAGTAACGGCGTTTTACCATTTTTGGACATCACTATTTCTTAAACTGTTTTATTTCAATAAACTACAATTGCAATAATAATACAATACATACATATATAGGTATATGTTAATATTCACATAATTATAAAAAAATAAGGCGAAGTGTGACAAATTAGGAATTGCAGCGTGTTCGATTCATCTGATTCTACATCGACTCGAAATAAGCCACTCGTAATAAGCCACTGGCTTGGGTTTGGGCAGTTGCTTGTTACGAATCCGGTATATTTTTCCATTCATGAAATTTTACTACTATTAAAAAGGGAAAGCATGCTATGTTCTGTCCTTGTCTAAAGAATAACATCGCCGCGCGACCGATTACTTTATAGTATACCGCTACACCCAACCCCCTGTTTTTTCTACGCCGTCACCGTCCTCGCGCTCGGGAACAAAGGCAAGCCGAAAATATACCTGATTCGTAACAAGCAACTCGCCAGACCCGAGCGAGTTGCTTATTACGAATCAGTACTGTATACCGTTAGGGTAGTCGCAAGTCCCGTAGAAATCTCGAAGAAAACGGATAGCAAAGGAACCGAAAGAAAGTCTCGACGTGTGTAGATGGTGGTCGTCTATAAATACGCTGGTGTACATTGTCATTCAGAACAACGAAGGCTTGTTATGTCGACATGCATAACACGTAGGGGATACTCTTGGAAGGAAAATAACGTTGTGTGTAGAAAACGCTAAACTTTTCAGTTCTTGAAAGGCGCCATCGTATTCGACGAAGGAATTGAACGTTCCTAGAGAATATAAAGTATGAACGGTACTTTCGAAATATTATAAATTACTTTGTATGTATAATTAATTAGGTTCGTTATTTATCACTATTCATTTATTATTTTTGTATGTTAGCTTTGAGATATTATCAAATTTCATATCTTTAAATTTTTGCTTCAGTGAATTCGAAATATTGTAAAGTAAAATATTTGTGTTTTAAGTAAGATTTAGTAAGATTGACATAAATTCAGAAATTGAAAGAAGAGTGAAATAAAAATTCCATGTTGTAACAATAAGACGTATAGTAATAATATTTGTCAAACATAATAAAAGAATAAGTACATTTGTTATAGTAACTTTTTTCAATATTTAATTTATATTTGTTATGTCAGTTTTATCTTATAATCCATGCTATGAGTATCTTTGTTAGTATTTTTATACAGTATATATTATAATGTATTCATTAATATCTATATAGTATTAAGATAGTAATATTTAATAAGAAAAAATAATGAACTATTGCAAAACATTTTATATGTTTAAAGAAGCTAAAGAAGAAACTCTTCCAAGTCCGGTATGGTCTAGTGGCTAGGATACCTGGCTCTCACCCAGGAGGCTCGGGTTCGATTCCCGGTACCGGAATATTTCTTTTCCATTTTTTTTTTCGATATTTCAATTTTAATATTCAATTTTTAACTTATATACATAAATATATAAATACAAAACTTTAAAAATGGCTCAAACCTCAATTTTTAAAATGGAATATTTCTTTTCTCATTTTTTTTCCAATATTTCAATTTTAATATTCAATTTTTAACTTATATACATAAATATATAAATACAAAACTTTAAAAATGGCTCAAACCTCAATTTTTAAAATGGAATATTTCTTTTCTCATTTTTTTTCCAATATTTCAATTTTAATATTCAATTTTTAACTTATATACATAAATATATAAATACAAAACTTTAAAAATGGCTCAAACCTCAATTTTTAAAATGGAATATTTCTTTTCTCATTTTTTTTCCAATATTTCAATTTTAATATTCAATTTTTAACTTATATACATAAATATATAAAGAACCAGCGGCAGAAAATTGCTCAATGTTAGAATGAAGAGAGGTGTGATGCTTACCCACGCATACTTGGCAACGCTTAGTGGACTTACACGCGGTAGAAGAGTGAGGACCCAAACAGTTGTAACATAGGTGCTTTTCTGTGACCAGCTGCTTCCTCTCTCGAGGATTCATGCCCTTAAATATTGAACAAAAGAGTAATGGATGCTCCTTCTTGCAAATGGCGCATCGTTGAGTGTAGCGACTGGACGTTGACGTGGCGTGCGACCTTACGCGCGCATAGGAATTAAATGACGCTCCTTTTTCCAGCTTTGGAGCTCCTGATGAACCGCTGGACGCCGACGATGGAATGGCCGAACCTTCCACTGCCTCCAGTGCTCTTACTCTTGAGATGAGGAAGGTTCTGAGCTCCTCAAATGTAGAAGGTTCGGTTGATGCCCCGACGTGAGATTCCCAAGCCATCCTGGTTTTGGGGTCCAATTTTCCGGCGATGACGAAGACCAGCCAATCGTCCCAATGCTTAACTGGCCGCTTCAAAGCTTCGAAGGCTTGAACCGAATCGGTAGTGCCGTCAACCAACCCCTTCAACTCTTGTGCGAACTCCTTCTTCATCGTAGGGTGAGACGTTAACGATGTGAGCTGGGCGTGAATCAGCACTCGTAGATTTTGATACCTTTCGGTAATAGACCGCCAGGCGCGCTCAAAATTATCACCGGTAACCGAAATGTTTTGTAATAGCAGAGCGGGTTCACCAGATAAACTTGTTTTTAGGTAATGAAGTTTTTCGACGGGCGAGAGCGAGTCGTTGTCGATGATAAGCGATTGAAAAAGGTCCCGGAAATTCGGCCAATTATTGTATTCCCCCGCAAAAACGGGGAGCACTATTTTTGGTAAGGCTCGCAGCGACGTAGGATTTTGTGATGGAGTGCTCTTACCGGCAGAAAGTTCCTCCTGGAGATCCAGTAAAAATGCCTTTTGAGCCAGGTATGCTTCTTCCCCGATGCTGATATAGTCTTCCTGGAAGTAGAAATGATCCGATTCCTTGGAGAAGACATCTAAGAGCTCGTTGTGCGTTTCAGAAAAGGCTGTCCAGTTTTTCTCCAGAAGTTCCAGTCGAGCACTGACCACCCCCTTTGTGATTTTCGCCGCTCCCATCTTTTTCGTGTTTTCTACTGTAGATTTTATTCGTTTGAATAGATCAAGTTGTTTCGTAACGAATTTGTCCATTGTTTCAGACACTCCAGAAAAAAGAAAAATAGACCGTGAAGTGGAACGCCCCGTGCTATGCACGGGAAAGACAAGAAAGGACAATTACAATGCACTGTTCCAAAACACTAACTAAGCTTTGCCGCTTTGACACGCAACTTATGTAGGAAGATGAGTTCACGTTGACGTTGGTGTATTATTCTTGTTTTTGATGGTAAAAAAGGGATGATTTAATTGACGCCGGTGATGGTCGTAGGCGAACCGTATATATTAAG